TAGACTTATTGGTGTGAAGTCTTTTGGGGTTGTGTGTGAGGGTTTCCCTGCTTTGGGGATAAAGACTATTTTAGCCTTTAGCCAAGCTCGGGGGATTTTTCCCACTGGCAGTATCTTCCTGAAGATACTTTGCAGCCAGTTGATGGCCATGTCCCCGGCTTTTTGTAACTGAGCCGGAATGACTTGGTCCGGGCCAGGCGATTTGAAGGATTTAAAGCTGTTTACTGCCCAGCTAATATTCCGTTTTGTGAGGATGTGCACCATCGAGGTTTCCGGGCCTTCACTTGGGGTGTCTGCCGGCTCGATGGTCGTACACCCAGGAAAATGAGTGTCGAGTAGAATGTGTAGGGAGTCCTCACTAGAGTTTGTCCACGTACCATCCGTTCTCTTGAGATATCCCACCGAGGGGGATGTTTTTGACAGGATATTGCGTAGCCTTGCGGCTTCTGTCGTGTCTTCAATTTCGGAGCAAAATTTTTGCCAAGAGGCCCTTTTTGCTCTCCTTGTTTCTTTTTTGTATAGGGTTAGCTTACTTTTGTATTTTTCCCAGTGCGCTTCCTCGCTGCTGCTTTTGGCTCTGTTAAAGAGAGTCCTGCAGTCTTTCCGGAGGGTATCTATATGTTTAGACCACCAGGGGGGCTTCTTTTTCCCTCTTGGTTTGGTTGGGGGGCAAGCTGCCACGAAGGCCTTATTGCAAGCTTCCGTGAAATTGTCCACAAGACGATTAAGATCGTCTTGTGTGTCCGGGCATTTTGTGGCTAGGGGGGGAGTAATTCCTCCATTTTTGCACTATATGTATCCCAGTTGGCTTTCCTGGGATTAGTATAGTTTGTGGGTTTGGTGCTTTCGAGCGATAGGATTGTCTCGATGTACCTGTGGTCGGAGAAGGAGTGGTCCTCTAGGACTCTCCAACTTTTCATTATGTCTGACAGCTTGTGAGACAGTAGAGTGAGGTCAATAACCTCTTGACGGTTTTTTATGATGAAAGTGGGGTCATTACCCCGATTACCAATAATTAGGTTGGAGTTTAGGATGAAGCTGAAAAGTGACTCACCCCTTACATTTGTATCCGAGCTCCCCCATTGGGTGTGGTGAGCGTTGGCATCGCAGCCTATTAATAGGCTTGTATCCGACCTCTCGCTGGCTATCTTGCGAACAAGATCACTGGGAGGATCGCTTTCCTCGTGAGCCATGTAGGACGACACCAGGTTCAGGCGTGTCCCTTGTAGCTCTAGGCTAGCCGCCGTGTTGTCGCCATTGCTAAAATTGTGGAGCAGAAAGATATTTAAGTGCTTTCTTGCTAGTATGCAGGTTCTAATTTTACCTTCAGTTTGTGCTACAATCAGCTTGTAGTCCTTCGTCGCTAATCCACAGACCCTGCCTCCTACCACCCAGGGCTCTTGGATTAGGACTATGTCCCCTCCGCTTGCAGCTAAGCGGAGTATTAGGGCAACTGATGCTGCTTTACAGTGGTGGAGATTTATCTGCAGAAGCCTCAGAGACTTCGTTGGAATCATTCTCCAGCACTGTTATATCGGCGTCAGAGTCGTCGAGGATATCGTCCCGACACAGCGCCTCAAAATCGAGCATCAGCTCCGTCTCCGAGGAGTAGCTCTCCAGGGCCGGCTCCGGGTCTACTTCGGGGGCCTCGATCTCCGAGGCAACGTCCTGCTTAACTGGGTTGTTGACAGAACGCGCCTCGGCCGCTGCATCCGACTTGTAGACCATCATGGTCACCGAGCTGAACCCAAAGTTGAGCTCTCCCTTGGATGCTTCTATCGGGGCTAGCGATTCTTTGTTTAAGGCTACCACTGCCTGATTTGTGGGGCCCTTTGATGCCTCCACTTTGACCACCTTCCAATCTGAGGTTGGCAGTGTAGGGTTGCATCTCTGCAACATCGTGAGTATCCGCTCGGGCTCCTTAAAGGTGGCCGGCACCCACCTCGGTCTACTGGGCACCTCGCTCCAGTCCACAGCGACGAGCTTCGCCCCAGCGTAGACCTCTCCGATTTGCGCCACCGCAGCTTTGTATAGCTTCACGGAGCGCTCATCTTCGCAGGCCACCACTTTAATGCTTCCCTGGAACCATCCCATGTCTTTGCAGACTGTAGGTGGCCCGGGATCCTTCTCGAGAAGCTCGAAGCAGCGGTCGGCCAGTGCCGCTTCCACCCACTTCCATTGGCTTCTGTGTATTTTCCCCTCCGCGCTGCCTTTGTCGAGAACGCCTATCAGCGTCCTCTCCTTGGCAATCTGCGCGAAGGATACGTTTGGTAACACCCTCGAGCGCTTCGCGGCAGGTCCGGGCGTCTCTTGACAGCGCTGCCTCTTCGGTTGTGCGTCCACCTTCTGTGGCTCCACACTGAAGTTGGGCAACACCGTCGAGGCCCATTCCACTTTTTTCAGCCAGTCTGCTGTTGGACTGACTTCCTGGCTGGCGTTCTGCCGACGGAGTATGTGCCCAGCACTCCTCTTTTCGGCATAGCTGTATTTCCTGGTTTGGACACTGGTTGATGGCAAGCCATCACCCGCCGCTTCACCGGAAGGTTGAGCAGCCGCAATATTGCTTAGCTGCCCTACCATGGTATCCGTTTTGGGTGTTGGCTTTCCACCCATCCCAGGTTTGGGATGGGACCCACCCGGATTCATACCCGCGTCCTTTGGCCAGGCCTTTGGGCCGCTGCCTTCTCCCGCTTGGGATTTCTCCCTGCAGGCATTTGGGGAGTGCCTTTCTCGTTTTGGTTTCTTTTGTTGTCTATATTTTCGTATTTTTCCATAAAGTTCCCACGAGCTGCAGAGAAGGGGAACGGTCCACCCCGGCAGAGCTCTGCGTTACCCGGGTAAGGCATAATTAGAACAGGGGGCTGCCAAGTCCCTGAGCTCTCCGTTCACGACTGGGCTAGTTTTATACCGGGCCCCCCGCCAGGCTGACTCTTGGCACGGGTCGAGTAACACCTTAGTCCGGCCCGGTGTGAGGTGAGTGTTGGGGCTGGGATGTGGGTAGGTATTGTGTAGGGATGGGATTGTGTGAGCTACTTAATGAGAGGCGGCACCACAAGCGCATCGTCAGTGTTGCTGCGTCGCGAACACCCGCTGGCTGTCCGGGACTGCTTATTTCGGTACTCTCCCTCAGAGCCAACTTAGTTGCTACTCTTTGGGATGCCCGCTTATTCGCAGCTGACCTACCCACTAGGGTAGGCCGTTCGCTATCCGCAACCTGCGACCCGTCCGGTGGCCTCAGCTAGGCCCCCTCTGAGCCACCTCAAAGCCCAATAGGATCATCGGAAAGAGCTAATTAAGAATTATAAAAAAAATCGGGGCAATTATGTCACTGAAAGTCCTTTTCCTGCACTCCTACTTGGACTTTTTACCGACAAACCTAGGCGACGTTAGTGATGAACACGGAGAGAGATTTCATCGACAAAGAAAGAAAGCCACAAAAATTTAATTTTTTTAAGAACAAGTAGTAGAAAAGCCTTTCTGTCTTTCGGCCTGTACTGCGTCTTCGAATTCGTTGGTGTGGATATCTTCACCTGGGAGTAGCGTTGGTTGCATCGACTGCTTGTGACGAACCATGTGATCCATGGTTCGTTACCAGTTCCTTATATTTAGTTATTCGGATTAGATTCCTCTTCCAAGCGTGTTGGAGCTTCCATCCATCGGTGAAGATTCTTAGCTCCCGTCTGGGGCTGGTGGGCCTAGTTAGGCGCTCCCGCATTGGGAAAACGCAAAATGAAAATTAAACGGCTTTTTTTTTTTTACAAAAAAAAAAAGAACGAATCTTAAGTGCAAAATGAAAAAAAAAAAATAATGTCACATTGATGTATTGACATGGATTTGACACCATTACCAGTGCAATTGAGCTTAAACCAACCAAAAAAAAAAAAAAATATTGGATCTGAAAAAATTGGTCAAGGCAACAATAAATAGTGGATTGGTCCAAACAGCTGTGGCAACCCGATTTGGCTATCGACAAATCTCTGTCAAGCACTAGCGCGTGGGTACCAGCAGTAAATTTTGCGCTGAACAATAGAGGAGGAAAAAACCACACTTTTGCGAGTCGCAGCGCCTTGAAATGCAAATTGTATCAACATTGATTGACTTTGTCATTAAGATTAAGAATCTTGGGAGATCCGGGTTTCTATTACTTTTGCGGTTTTAACCAAAACGCTCCGTTTTTATTTTAGAGTGCTCCCGTTTTCGCATTTTCATTGATATATATCATTTTATTATCTTTTCTTATTAACATGATAAACTCTAACTTATTTTCCGACGTTCCGATAGTCGAATAGGGCTGTGACAGCGGTTAGCTCCAAAACGCAAATAGTTTTTTCCCTTATCAATTATTTCATATGCAAATTTGAGGTTGTTTTAAAGCAAAATTTGCACGGATAATGGTATCAAAATAATATAAATACATCAATAACTATTTATGTCCGATATTCGAAAAGTTTAGCGATATATTAATATAATAAATGCCAGAAGGAAGCGTTTCCGACCCCATTAAGTATATACATATATTCTGGATATATAAAATAAAAGCGATATAGACATGTCTGTCTGTCCATCTGTGTTCTTTCATATCACACTAAATCAAGTTTATTTAAAAAATTTTCCAAAGCCCCATTCTGCCCGCACAAAAGGCGGATATCTGTGGCATCTATATTTCTGAAGACGCAAAAAAAACTGGAAAAGCTGATTTATATAAAATGCCTATATCTATCATTATTATAGATAGAAGGAATAAATCAAGTTTCAGTGGCTACGCATCCACTTCCACGCCCTTACTTCTAAATATTCTAAAATTTTAATCAAATAGGTCGTTAGGTGGAAGGAGGATATTATTAGTGTAAAAATTAAAATTACGCAGCGCTCACGTGTTTTTTTTTTCCTTTCTTATAAGACTTAAATTAGGTTTCAATGCTTATTGTTGTTTATGTTATTGCTACTTCTTTCGCTGTCAAAAGTTATTTAATATTAATATTTACACATTTTAATTTCAGATTTGTTGACCTGACTAAAAAGAGTTCGCAATCAATAATCGATAGGTTTAAAGTAAATCCAAGCTTGGACACGCTTCTTCTATTTAATGAAGATTCTACCAGATCTATAGCCAGAATTTCATTGCCAGACATTTCAACTCAAATATTGACTAATATGATAACTCCAAATCAATTTTTAACTTTACCAAGGTTATCATCGCAAGACATGTTAGAAAGTAAGTATTGTTTAAATATTTTAAAATGTTCAGGGTTTAATATCGACTGAACAAATTATTCGTATAACTTTTCGGTTTTGAAAAGATAAATGCGGTTATCAAACTTATACTTAACCGATCACATAACACTACTCAACAAAATTGAACTTTTTATTTACGCTTCGAACCAAACTGACTTTTTCTGATAGATTTTTTAAAGAATTTTGATTTTTTATGAAAGAACTTTTTCTAAAACTAAAAAAAATTTATTTTTTGTATGCTTTTTTTTCAGAGGTATCACTTCGTTTTTTCACATAACTTAAGTATATTACATCTGGTTGTAATATTGTATGCCATTCTGAAAAGTTGAGAACTGCACCTATAGGGTAGCTGGGAAACATAAAGGTTTCAAGCAAAAATGATAATTTTTGTCTGGTATTTTTTTAAAAATGTTTGAAAACTCGAAAAAAATTAAAATTAGCGGTAAAATGTGATTTTGGTCAAACAATTTTAGCTCAACCGTTTATCCATAGCTTTTAATGCGCGATACCTTAATCGACGTACAGTGGGGCCGAAAAGAGGTGGCAAAAGTGAAATATATTTATGAGCGCTTTGAATAAAATGAATAGACGCTTTTAACCGAGAATTCCCATAATCTAGAGCTTACAGTAATATAATTTTCAAGAAAATCGATTTTATAGCTTAGTAGATTCATATGAGCACACAAAGTTGAAAATTTTTTCTTTGTGGAAAAATTTATTCAACTTTTATTGACATACTGCATCTTTCCGCTAGACTACCAAGGAATGGTTCTGTTTTTGGCTTTTATTACTAGGTGTATTCATTTATATCAATACTCCATGAAAAACTGGTCCGTTGCATATAAAATCCTAAAGAATGACTTATTTTCAAACCATATATCTTCTTGGTTGTTTGTCAACATTGACTTGACTTTACGCGACGCGACTCTACTTATATCCGTACTCAGTCAGTATATAGATTTTTGAGCAAATGATTTTTTAGAATTTTAGAATTAAAAAAATTAATTTTACATTTTACATTTTTTTGCTACATCTGTTATCTACACTACAATGTATATTCTACATCTAACATGTAGATTATACATTTACCATTTCGATTCTACATCTCCTCCGCTAGGGGTTGCTCGCGCACTGAACGCGGCAGAGTGTGCGAGCGAGAAAGAGATAGGTAGCGGGTTGGAGGGGGCGGAAGAACCAACAGAAAATTAATTTCTTCATTCTGGCTATAATTATGATCCGATCTTATTCAGATTCGGCAATCTGGTAGATATCATTTTCTACGATACTGCGTTTTTAGTATTATCGCATCTTTAAAATTGTGCCTGCCACAGATTTTCGTCCTTTGTGTGGGTGGAAGGGGGCGGGGCGAAATTTTGAAATACACTTGTAGCAGTGTGATATCACATGAGTCTGGAAACCAAATTTGGTTTCTCTAGCTCTCTGAGATCCAGGCGCTCATCGAGACGGACAGACGGACGGACGGACACGTGCTTATCACGAAAGCTGAATTGGTGCGATCGTATTATAAATAACTTTGAAAGACAAGTATGCAGACTTATTGGTCTGTACGACGAGGGCTGCGCTTTGTCTTTTCCTGGCTTAGGAATTATGACTACCCAATACATCATGTTACCCAATTCGTGTGATTGCATTGAAGAGCTGGCAGATGTGTATTATTGTATCATTTCAATGATAATTTTCGGAGTTATTAGGTAAAAAACAGGTGATTTAGGAATTCGGTTGGCCGGAATTCGATCGGTTCTTGGGGAGCTTGCAAAGTTTCACGTGTTTCACTGTTTCTATTTGAGCGCTGAGATTTCGATGGGCTCTCCACAGTGGGTGCTTTGTGCTGGTTGGTGACAATTGCTCCATGTATGGACGTTGGGCGTCTTTTTCTTCTCTTCTAAGAGCCTTGGTAAGATTTCTTGTAGCATCTTTAAGTCGTTGCTTTGAAGATGGCTATCTTTGGGACTGCCATTCACCTCACAATTTTTGCTATTCCAAAACAAGTTGCTCAATTAGCAGGTTAGTTCTGATTTGGTTGGTTTTCACAGGCATCCCTGGTGGTGAGAGCTTTTGGCTTCTGTAACGAGTACAGATTACAATGCATAAGCAGAGCAGTCGATATCTTCATCGATATTGATCTGAGGGGTTAGCTCTATGTGGGAACTCATATATATTTTGTATTTAAGCCAGTTGGTTCTATTCGTTGTGAGACTGTTAGTGTGCTCTACGAACTCCGGGCATTGAAGAAGACTTATTAGTACAAGTGAGAGATCGGATGATGGAACCGAAAGCGATTCACTTATTAGATAGCGTGGGATGTTCTTTCTCACGCGAAGGTTATCACATCCGGTATTTTTCTAGGGTCTGTTGGCCAATATGTGGGACTACCTGGGAAAACATAGTCCAGTTTTTTGCTTGCTTTGATGATCACGTTGTAAAGCTGCTTGCCTTTGGTAGTCACAAGGCAGTAGTCCCCTTCTGCAAGAAAACACTCCCCTGGAGTATTGTAAAAGTCCATGAACTGATCTTCAGTGATTGTAAAGCGGGGCGGGCAGTAAACAACGGTAATGGTAAGATTTCCATTACCCGATTATACATTTACAGATGTTGCTTGCAGATAATTTGTTGCAAGCCTTTCTGAAAATGGTGTTTTATGCGGTTTCTAATTAAAACGCCTGTTCCACCGTTTACTTTTCCATTTGTGTGATCTGTAAAATAGAATAAATAACCCCTTTTTTAAACGTTGTATTTGTTTGGGAGATGCGTTTTTGTGAGAAACATTATATCAATGTGTTTGTCATACAGGAAATGTGTTAGTTCAAGTTTGTATTGTAGAACGCCTTTAGAATTCCGAAGAGCTATTCTTAGGGAATACATTGATTATTTTGACTGTTGGGATGCAAGCATCTGAATCACTGAATCAACAAATCACATATTGGTATTGTCAGAGGTCTTATTTGCTATGGGATTCGACCTGTAAGAATTTATTATTGATTTATTTACATAGCGATCGATCTCAGTGTGTACTTGCGGTCCTCTAGCGTTATTCGTACTTTTTATACCGGTACTCGGAGAGTTACGGGGCTTATTAGATTGGAGGTAGAACTCCAAAAACTTCACGAGATCAGCATGTTGTACGTTGTAATTTTCCAAAGAATTTACCTCCCTTTTGGCCAGAGTTTTCTTGAGTAAAGCTCAGTTCTAGCTCTACTATCCCATAGGCACAGAAAGCAGCAGTTTTTTTTATAACCACCTTGCAATACCGTTAGCATGGCTACGACTGTTAAATCACGCTGGTGTTCTTTATATTTTATGTTTTCAAACAAATTTTTCATTGTTTGATATGTGTTGAGCTGTGTGTTTCAATAGCGTAGAGTTAAATCGAAAATTGTACTTTGATTAATTCACAACAAAGTTTGTTTGATTATGTTAGTTTTCTTTATTTGCCATGCAAGGCGAGTGGGAAGAGTATGGGCAAGACCCGTGGTGGACCGTGTTGAAGAGAGAACAAATGGGTTTTTGTATAAAGAGTAGTAATGGTATAGCAGGTCACTGTGCCAACCGACGATACGTTGTGTTTTTGATGATACTAGATTTCGAAGTGTCTCTGCTGCGCAGACGAGCCTCCCTCACAGCCTTCGTCGGCTGACGATTTTCGGGAAGGTGCAAATGATCAAGAGCGCAGAGTCAGGTAGGCAATGTTGTGCATAAGAGCGTTGCTCTGCTCTCTTTGCGCTGCCATGGGCCGGCGCTTAGCCGAACATTCTCCCCCCGTTGAAGAGCACGGATCTTCTACTTCCTTCTTTGGCAGCATACACAGCTTTGCGATAGCCCTCGTGGTGCTCCCAGTAGCCGTTTTGAGCTCAGCTACCCTGGAAACGTCATCTCTGCCGGCGATCAGTTTCGTCACCCTTCCCAGCGGCCACTTAAGTGGAGGCAAGTTCTCGTTCTTTACAAGGACCACGTCGCCGACACTGAGGTTAGGCTGCTCAGACCTCCATTTTGCCCTCTCCTGCAGAAGCGTGAGGTACTCCTCTCGCCAGCGGGACCAGAAAGTCTGCTGCGGGAAGTTGACCTGCCAGCGATCAAGACGATTGAAATTGAGTCCGGTCACATCTGGTTCTGCGAAGGTACGGATTGGAGCAGCGTCTAAGTCGTCGGGATGCTCTGAAATGGGAAGCAATGGCCTTGAATTTATTATGGCAGTGATATGGCACACAAGCGTTCTCAGGTCATCAAAGCACAGCAAAGAGCTGGAAGCGGAACGGTAGAAATGATGTTTGGCTGTTTTAACCGCAGCCTCCCAGAGTCCGTCAAAGTGGGGAGAGCGAGGGGGAATAAACTGCCAGTCGATATGATCCGCAACGCAAAACTCCTGAACTTCCTTCATATGCCTTTCTGCCAGAAGCAGCTTTTTCAACTCTGCCAACTCGTTCTTTGCTCCCACAAAGTTGGTTGCGTTATCGGACCAAATTTCCCTGGGCCGACCGCGAGTTAAAATGAATCGCTTTATTGCTGGCGTCGATAAATCCTGCACAAGCTCCAAGTGAACGGCCTTGGTGGCAAAGCATATGAAGAGGCATATGTAGCATTTGATGTGTGGTCTGGTCCGCACCTCACTCAGGCGGCCAATACTCATGCCAAATAAGTGCGAGCAATGACCGAGGCCCAGCGTGCAGATTCTGCTCATGGACATGTGCAATTAGAGCAGATGTGATTCGGAGTCCAAGAGTGCCCGACATGTGCGAGCGATCCAGCACGATCCCTCAGCAGAACAACTGCAGTGGCTATGAGCACAACATCCCTGCAGGAGTTCTGTGAAACCAGAGAGGCAGTTGAGGACTGTGGCTGCGCTTCAGGGTGCGGGAATGAAGAGACAACGGGTTCCGTGGGCGAGGCGTTTAAATGCAATAAAGTGTGATGTTTGCTACCACAGTGACGACATGTTGATGACTTGCAAGTGCGCAATTGATG